GTAAGGATTTCAAATATTTGTTTTAACTCATTATCATAACTTATCCGTTACAGTACCTAAGGTCTTGTTTTCCCTGTGTTGACTAGAAGCCCAACCTGATCTTGAATGTGGATGGTTTCATTGGTGTGGCCTTTGTGGACTTGCTCAGAACTTGTGGAGGATTTACGAGGTAAGAAAGAAAACTTAGCAAATACACAGTAAAGTCATATGATAAGGCAATTGTATGTAATAAAAAATCTTAAATATTCTCAAAGTCATGTGATATATTTTATATTTTCCCTATTTACCCCACAGAGATGAAGCTGATGAATTTGTTGAAATTGGTGCCCTTAATGGCATCTTTGTCTTGGGACGCAGCATGGGATTCATTGGTGAGTTGTTTCTGTTGCTTCTGGTTGCATCTTTTACCGCTATAGCTTAATCTGTTCAAGTTTGACACAAAGCAGGTTGGCCAGTCATGTTGAAATTTCAGTAGTTTTTGGAGATTCAGGAGACTTGGAAGTCGTTATGATACGTTCACACTGAACAGCAGAAGCAGCCGGTTTACATGCAAAGTTAATGGTTGACACGTATCCAAAGGGCATCAAAAGGTCTTGCAGCACATCTCAAGCAGCAGCAGCAGAACATTTTGAAGTAGTGTCTCATGAGCATCTGATCCGTGTGGCGCGCTTCACCAGCAGCTGATGCTGGAGATGGAAAATCTGAACTTTTGCTGCTTGATGCCTCACATCAACCAATCAAAGAAGCTGATCTGGGAGCTGGCAGGGGGATGGACGCAGCATTGCTAATGCAGAGCTGTCAGCATAACGCCATCAAACATAAACAAGAATAGGGCTATGTATATATAAATGGGGTAAAATTTGAGGTTTCAATAAAAGGAAAGGAGAATTTTGTTTTCATGTAGAAAGAAAAGTGAGTGATGCTATGATCACTCACTGAATTAACTTAAAATGCCGAAACCTGTAAGCAAAATATGTTTACTTTTATTATTCTGGTGCTTGGAGTTTGTACCAGATACCTGAAAAAGCTTTAACATCCGCTTCCAGCCACCACGAATAGTAGTGGAAAATCCCCAAGAGGCAGCCAGTTTTAGGGAGCTGCTGCTGGGGTTTCCCAGTTAAAGCTACCCGGTAGGTAGGGGTCTATGTACGTAGCTCTAACAGGAAAATAACATTTTAAGGCAGGATCACAATCTGGATGAACTGACTGCACAGATGATGTTTTGAGGTGTACTTTCTCACTTTAAAAAACATTAAAACCACATTTTACCCACTTATCACAGAAAATATAGCCTAACAAAGCCAATCAGCCATTGAACACAAGAGCAGAACAAGCATCAGATGCATCTGTACAAACCTTATTTGACACGCCTCAATGTCCTTGAGGAGTGTCTGACCTTAATATGCACAGGCAGCAAAGCGGCAGACACTTCTTTGCTGCTCAAACCGTGTTCGGTGTGAATGTAGGAAGCTAATTTGCAATACAGCAAATTGTAGCCTCTGGCTCCTGTTCCTTTACCTTTTGAGGAAAACAGTAAGAATGTTACGGTGGGTAGGAAAGCAATGCTGTATCGTCTCTGGACAGCCTTTAGCTCAAACTAGGCCTACAGCCAGCGACTATTTCCCTAATCCATTAATCTGTTGATTAGATTTTTGATTAATGGATTAATATTTAGATAGCAAAAGGTTCCTTCAAGATTTTTTTACGGAATTAAACCAGATGTTTTAGCATTAAATGCGTGTTTTATAGTATCTATATTACAGTTAAGACTTCCAAAAATAACTTCAAAAAACACAAATGTAGCAAAGGGCTGAAGCTCCACATTACACAAACCAATACACATATAAAGATGAGTATATCTGCATGGATCATAGACAGATGAAGCAATAATGTATTGTTCAATTCTTTAAGGCGGTTTATACTTATATGTCATGTCACATAGAGGATTGTAGGATTCATTATATCTGGATATTGTAATATTGTGGGTTACCTATGCTAAAGAAACTATGATAGGAAAGGATACAGATTCCTTTTCCTACCTCTCTTCTTTACGCAAGCAGTATTCAGACACCTCTTATCATGCTGACACACTCTGCTTGGCTAGAGTGATTACCCATTTGCTGCATTCAGACTGAGTCTAACATGAATACAAAGAAAGCTTTCAAGCTTGATGACCTCATTTTGTTCATCTTTCCTACAGGACACTACCTCGATCAGAAGAGGCTGAAGCAGGGACTGTATCGCCACCCCNCGCAAACCAGCTTCCTTTATGACTAGTATTTGTGATGAAAGAGGCCAGGAGCTTCTCTATGCTGGCATGCCCATCACTGAGGTCTTTAGGTCAGAAATTGGCCTGGGAGGAACTCTGGGGCTGCTTTGGTTTCAGCGGAGGTCAGACATATCCATCTATGTTTATGGTTAAGCCCACCTTAAGTATTCCTTAACAATATATAGGTTTATTTATATGATTTCCTCTCTTTATGCACAGACTCCCGAAGTACGCCTGCCAATTTATTGAGATGTGCCTGATGGTCACGGCGGATCACGGCCCAGCTGTTTCTGGTGCACACAACACTATTGTCTGTGCACGAGCTGGCAAAGATTTAATCTCCAGCCTCACCTCTGGCCTCTTCACCATTGTGTGACATTTTGAATTTCGTTTTATTTTCAGAATTACACCTTAAAGCATGAGGAAACTTCTAATATCCTTTGTTGTTTCTTCAGGGGGACAGATTTGGAGGAGCCCTGGACGCTGCTGCAAAGCAGTTCAGCCATGCATTTGATAGCGGTATGCTGCCCATGGAGTTCGTCAACAAGATGAAGAAGGATGGAAAGCTGATCATGGGCATTGGTCACAGAGTTAAGTCTGTGAGTAACATTTATTCATTTTAAGAACATGCATGTAGATTCCCATGAAAATTTTTAAAAAAAGGTGAAGTTTGTTGATTATTTTTCAGTTTTTAAAAAACATGCATTTACTTCTGTAGATAAACAATCCTGACATGAGGGTCCAGATCTTAAAAGACTTTGTGAAGCAGAACTTTCCTTCCTCACAACTACTGGATTATGCTTTAGAAGTGGAGAAGATAACCACCTCCAAAGTAAGGATTTCAAATATTTGTTTTAACTCATTATCATAACTTATCCGTTACAGTACCTAAGGTCTTGTTTTCCCTGTGTTGACTAGAAGCCCAACCTGATCTTGAATGTGGATGGTTTCATTGGTGTGGCCTTTGTGGACTTGCTCAGAACTTGTGGAGGATTTACGAGGTAAGAAAGAAAACTTAGCAAATACACAGTAAAGTCATAT